TAGCTGGGAAATTGGAGAAGAATAAAATATCATGGAGAGGAGATTCAGGTCTTAAAGATGGAAGCGATGCGAATCTAGATCTTTCTCAAGGATTATATGATGCTGGAGACCATATGAAGTTTGGTTTTCCAATGGCTTTCACTGCTACTGTTTTATCATGGTCGATTCTTGAGTATGGTGATCAAATGGAAGTAGTGAATCAATTAGATCCCGCGAAAGAATCGCTTAAATGGATCACTGATTTCTTAATCAATGCTCATCCTTCTGATAATGTTCTCTATATTCAGGTTTTTGGAACTCTTCTTTGAAGCAAAAAAAAAAATGATTCTTAGTGTGTGTGATTGATTATGAAAATTTCGATGTAGGTGGGAGATCCGAAATTAGATCATCCATGCTGGGAGAGACCAGAGGCTATGACGGAGAAGAGACCAAGTACGAAAATCGATGCGGAGACTCCAGGGAGCGATGTTGCTGCGGAAACTGCTGCAGCTATGGCTTCAGCATCTTTAGTGTTCAAAGATAGCGATCCTCAGTATTCGAGCACGCTTGTGAAACACGCGAAGCAGTTGTTTGATTTTGCCGAGACTAAAAGAGGCGTTTACAGCGTCAGCATACCAGCGGTTGTGAAGTATTACAACTCGACGGGATATGGTGACGAGTTACTATGGGCAGCTAGCTGGTTATACCACGCAACAGAAGATAAAACTTACCTTGATTATGTTACTAGTCATGGAAATGAATTTGCTAGTTTTGGAAATCCAACTTGGTTTAGTTGGGATAATAAGCTTGCAGGAACACAGGTTAGATTGGAATAAGAAGACAAAGAAACTGTTGAATCATTTTCTTCTGTTTTTTCTCGTTCGGATAACATTTATTCTTTGTTATCATTGCAGGTGTTACTATCAAGGTTACTCTTCTTTAAGAAAGACTTATCAGGAAGCAAGGGACTTGGAAGCTACAGGGACACAGCTAAAGCTGTCATGTGTGGGCTTTTACCAAACTCTCCAACTGCGACGAAAAGTAGAACAAGCGGTAGTTTTTTCACTGTATTATTGATTAGAAACATAAAAGCCTCTTCGATTCAAGATCTTATTAAGCTTTTTGATCTCTCAAATCTCTTCTTGAACAGGTGGTCTTGTAATGGTTAGTGAATGGAACGGTCTGCAACAATCGGTATCCGCAGCATTCTTGGCCTCACTTTTCAGCGATTACATGCTCACTTCCCGTATTCATAAAATATCTTGCGACGGGAAAATCTTCAAAGCAACCGAGCTCAGAGATTTCGCCAAATCGCAGGTAACATACAAATCTATACATTTCAAAATGAAATAACTCAAAAAGAAGACTTACTAAATGTAGTTTCTTCCTCCAGGCTGATTACATACTGGGGAAGAATCCGATGGGAACGAGCTTCGTGGTTGGTTACGGAGAAAAATACCCGGAATTCATCCATCATAGAGGTGCTTCGATTCCTGCGGATGCAACCACAGGATGCTTAGATGGATTCAAGTACTTTAACTCGACGAAACCAAACCCAAACATAGCATATGGTGCACTTGTAGGTGGACCTTTCTTCAACGAGACGTACCATGACTTACGAATCAACGTGAGGCAGAACGAGCCAACTACTTACAACAATGCTCTTCTCGTTGGTCTCTTGTCTAGTCTTGTCACTACCTCTTCTGTTTTACAATCGTTGAAGTGAGCTTTGGTATTACTAAAAGCCTTTTGTTAAAAATCACATTGCTTCATTTTTATGTATTTTTTTTTCATTTGTGTGTTGTTCGCGTTGTGTATGCTTGATGTGTTGATGAGTGTTAAATCAAAAAGTTTAGTTAATTTAAACCAAAAAAAAAGACTAATCAAATAACACAATACTAAAGTTAAATCTAAGGGGTAGGATTTAGCTTGGTTAGATTTTATGATATATTTTTTTTCTTGGCTATTTGGCCCAATTTCTCTACTAACAAAGTAATCCACCGACAAAAAAAAAGAAACAATGTTGCAAACGGTATAAAACGGTCCGGATAGATTATGATAACGAAACTGTTGTGACCGGTTTAAACCTGGGAAATTCGGGTAAAATGTTAAATTCAACGAACCGGGTTATTCGGTTAAGAACCTAAACAACCCTAG